TCGGGATATGCCCAGAGTCACGGAATGGATTAAGTTCGTATCCCGAGGTACCACTGTACTTTGTTTCTTTAAATTAGATTGTTCTAATATATTACTTATTATTTCCTCCATGACATTTTCTTGAACATCCTTCCTGTACTGCAGAATCTACAAATGACTAACAATCAAACCCATTATGTTGTAAGAATGTATTTGGTCAAAGCACAAGGTAAAATTTTTGGGTTTTCTTTTAACATCTCTTGAGCTGGGTGGAACAGGCTTATGTGTGAACCCAGCACAAATGATATACTTCAGAAACAGAACAATGTATCAATCCCTACATTTTTCCACAATGGATCTTCTCATGAATTATCACACTCTACACTATCATTGCTGCAATGTAGTGATTAGAATTTCATAATTATTAAGCACATAAGAGCCCGCATTTTGTACACTGCATACAAAATCTAGTAATCTTAGAAACTAGACTAAACTCATACAGATTGCCTTTTACATTTATATTAGAAATCTAACTCTCCATTCATGTCTTTTCCATATTTGATTCTAAAGGTTAGAGTAGTTTGATGAATAATTTCTGCTCTAAAATATAGATGATCAAGAAAACATATTAGAAATGTATGGTCTACCACAGTTCCTCAGAGATTCATGCTAATCCATCAATGGCCACCACAAATACACTGACGTCTCATTATAATGAGATATCAAAGGGTTCCTCCAACCATGTTTTGAGTCAAACATGATAACATCTTGATAAAACAAAACATGGAAAGGCTTAAGGTATCTATCTGTCTCTCTGAGGTAGGGAAAACACAAAACATACTGGAACTTAATTTCTTGGTGGAATGCTTGCAGCCTAATACCACAAAATGCATTTCAGCAAGAATTTATATGTTAACATTAGATATGAGTACTGTATATTGCCTAAAATATAACATGTAAAGCAGCTCGGGTTACCCTACAACAGCTTCATTACCCCTGTAGAAATTAGTTATAAAAATTAATACAGTAAAATAAAATATTTTAAATAAAAATAATTCACCATTATTTTCAGAGAATCAAGTTGTGTACAATACATTCAGTACTGTACATCAAGGGGCTTCAAAGTGGGAAAACTACAGTTCAGCATTTTAAAATGACAATCAGCTTCTCAATGATTATTTAGGAAACATGTTTTCCCATATGATGTAGTGGCGTATACATAGTCCATGAAATTGATCCATTATGTTATGCTTATCATTGAATCTATAAATACTGTAACCCTTTCAGCTGTGTTATCTGCCTTATGGGGCAGATCCTATGATAACGTAGATGATAATTTTTTCTCTTTATTGATTAGTCTCCTCTATTCATTGGGTATGGAATTATTATTCCACAATACCCCATATCATGCATCAGTTCTCCTGGGTATTTCACATCTATAACAAGTGTAACATAAGAGTAGAACAAACAGAAGCAATAAACCAGGGATTAGCTGTGGTTCTATTTGTATTTCTGAAATCTGATATGATCCGTATGCCTCAAAATATTCGAGAGTCCTGGTTTTCAGAAAGGAGAGATCTCCTGTTATACTTTGCTTACCATATCAGAAGTTCAATTATTTCACTTTTATGTAACATAGGAAGGTTCTTTGAAAAAGGTTGGTAATTGATACCACCACCACAGACCTATACCCTGATTTTCTTCTACCACCTCATTTCTACCAGTGTACAACAATGCAATAGATTTCAGGCCATGCAATAAACAATAAACAATTTGTGATGAATACAGAAGTGGGACTTTTTACCTGTTATATTGCAGTATACCGTAACTGGTGGAAGTGGACCACTTGCATCAGAATCAATGTGGAAGAAACCAGATGTTTTCCCTTGGTGTCGATAAGTTTCACATGATTGCTCATAAATAGCTGAAAGGAAAATAAATAGTTTCTTAAGGCACATATCAAAATCAAGAGTTTGGGGTAGGTGAGATAAATTAGTACTGTTTAGTATATGTCTATCTCACTGCCGGTTGGCCGGATCTATCTGTGAGACAGTTGTCTGCTGTGGATAGCTAAGGTCCAGAAGATGACTCTATCATAACTACTTCTTCCACATTACTGACATTAAGCTGGGAAGGACATGGCAGCTGCATTGTGAGTCAGCAGAATAAACTGCCTCCTGACAAAGGTGTCACACAGACAAAAACAGTGCTGTGTCATCTTAAAACACTCATACATTATCTTTTCTTTAAGCAAGAACAAACTGGCCTTTCTTTATTGAACACCATGGATGGAAATGAATCCATATCTCATTCACATAGATTTTTTCCCCCAATTACTTCATTATGGAGATTTCAGTTTAACATAGGCTTGATTGAGTTAATGCAAATTTTTCTGTATGGATTTTTTTTCTCTAGATATTTTGAAGGGTAAGGGTCTTCTGGTAACAAGGATACCATGTTTGATGAAAGGGTTGAGCAATGAAGAGTTGAGCAAATTATTCTAGTTTTGGTTTTAGCTTTTATTTTTATATACAGGGTTTTGAACTGAGATGGGTCTCTTAGTGGTCTTACAGGGGAATGGAATGACCAAACTATAATCTACAGTATTTAAACAACTGAGTCCCAAAATGTTTCTTCCAATCAGCTGAGAGCTGGCTGGATGGGAACTGGAAGATCATAGCAAACAGATTATTAGAAATGGGGAAAAATGGGGCGGGGGGACCTTGAGGCACAAAGAGCAAGTCCTAAAGGAAAAAGGAATTGAAATCAGTATCAGGAGGTCAGTGGGAAGTAATATATCTAGGAATAGGTAAAATCCCAACCTAGCCAACCAGGAAAGACAACTGGGGAGAAAAAACAGAGGAACTGTTAGTGTAACAGTGTAGTATATAACGGTCATCCTTGAGATTTATGCTAATTTTCTTGTGAGGAACATCTGTGAGAAGCATTGTGCTCTATCAAGACATCTGCAGGTACCCATACATTCAATATGTATGGGTGAATATAAGCAGGGTAAACAGCAGGGGTTAAAAGGAAAGAATTTGCATTGGAAAATTCCAGAGAGTTAAGAGAAGTCTACTCTGTACTTCAAGTAAGAACTGGCACATTTCCAAGCAGCTCTCTAATCTATGGTGTTTATGACAGAAAGCAACCAAGTATATACAATTTTTTTTGAATTGACTGATTTTAATTTAATTTATTCTATTTAATATAGCTGCCCATCCAGAAGACTCTGGATTTTAATTGTTACCATTATAGAATCATTTGCATTCTATTTTTGATCCTTTCTCCCATATTCTCTCATATGTCCCAATTACTTATTCTTTTTTTTCTGAGACAGTTTGGATATAGAATTGGGACCCCTCTCTCCAGAAATAACAGTAGTGGGATCCTCTGACCAGCAACCATGTACTTGGTAGAAGTAGTAAAAGAAGTGAGCACCTTCCTCGCCTATCATACTGCGTCATGACGCTGTATTATTACATAAAGTAGTACTATACAAAAAAGGTTGGGGGAAAAAAAAACAGGAATAATACATTAATATGTATGCATGTTTATGTGTGGGTGTATGTATGTGTATGTATATATATATGTGTGTGTGTGTGTGTGTATGCCAATGAAATATGGATCATCAAGAGAACTAACATTGAAAGTTTTGATGTTCTATTGCATGTTTATGTGTGGGTGTATGTATGTGTATGTATATATATATGTGTGTGTGTGTGTGTGTATGCCAATGAAATATGGATCATCAAGAGAACTAACATTGAAAGTTTTGATGTTCTATTGCCACCTGAATTGCATATTCCTTGAATAGACTTAAATAATGTGCTGCCTCTTTTCTAGTTCTGAATTCCAAGTTTTGCCTAGGCCCCAGATCTGATCCAACTTTCAAGCATGAGGAAATAGATTTTGAGACGGATTTTCTATATTTAAATAGAAAGAAGGAGGAAGAAACTGATTTCTCTGAAAGGTGTTAAGTTTCATTTTACCTTAGATGTAAATTTCTTCTGAAAAACAACAACAAAGTACAGCCATTTCTGGTTTTCCTATTCTAATCTTTGGGAGAATGGAACCCCCATTTTCCAACTCTTGATCTGAAACCAGGTACCGAGTTAGACTGAACTATTTCTAAAATGACACATATCGGATTCAGGGGTTTCTGAAGCTTGGTATTCAGAAAGCAGATCAGGTGGATTCTGCATAATCAAAATATACACAACACACAGACACACAGCACTTGCAAAAGAGAATTTTGTTGTTGTTTAGTCGTTAAGTCGTGTCTGACTCTTCGTGACCCCATGAACCATAT